ATGGAATATAACAATATAAGAAATGGATGCTTTTATAGCAATTTTATGTGCACATGGTATATATTGTGCAGTACATGTCAAAACAAACCAGATAAATTTGGAATCAAGTTCTGGTTAACTGCAGATGTTGACTCAAAACATCTAATATATGGATTCCCGTATCTTGGAAAAGATAACCAAAGTCCATTCAACGTTTCTCTTTTTTAACGTGTATTACTGCGACTATTAAGTCCATATGAAAACAAAGGTAGAAATGTCACTAAAGATAACTTTTTCACAACAATGAAGCTTGCAGAAGCATAGAAATCCAAAAACACCAGCCTTGTAGGAACTATAAAACGCTCAAGAAGAGAAATACCAGTCTCTGTGAAAATGTCAAAATCCCCATTGCATGCGACTGGGATACTAACGCATAAAGACATCAGTCTAACTGTTTATCAAGGGAAAAAAGGATAAAAACGTTTTGTCGCTAAGTAATCTTCATCTAAATTATAGATACTCCCAAAAAATTATAGTTCGACTGTCTTACCGGCGACCATGTGCGCAAACATGCATGCGCCATTTTGACCGATTTATTCTCAAAATGGGGTGGATGGAATCAGGGTGGAATCATGTTGTAGGGATTTTTTTCCGTTTTACTTTTTCCCTGTTTATTTCCACAGCGTTCAAAGGGCACAGACAGAAGGAGACAAAATTACTTCTAAGTAATCTGCGCTGATATGCTGATCATATGTTTAATATTAAGCATTTATGTATATATTCTTAAAAATACAAGTGTTTTCTAAAATTAGTTTTGCAGTATAACATTATTTTATAAAAAAAAACATAATAAGTAAATTTTATTATAAATATTCAATTATTATATTTTATATATGATTTTTTTTATTATTATTACAATGAATTCTAATAATTTAATTATAATAAATTATATAGCAATAATAATTTATCATAATTATGTTGTAATTGATAATTAGTTTATCTTCGAGCTACGATCTATCTGCATTATTACACACTGAAAAAATTTCCTATTAATTAATTATAATGATTATACAGTGATAAATAATTATTATATTTTTTGAGTAATTATAATAAACTATATTATAATAAATAAATATTACATCGCTTCGATTTTTGCGCTGAAAGCTATATGCAGTATTACATGTACTGAGGAGCTAAAAAACAAAATTTCTTACCTCATTACTTACTATTCTGTATCACAGTCACTACACATATCCAAGTTGTCTTCCTCTTCATCAGGGGAAATAATCAAAGATTCGCATAAATCTTCAATCAAACCATCTTTTTTCCAGTAGTCATTTTCGACATGAGTACAGTACTTCTTTTAAATTTTTCTATCATTACTCTTCTTTTGTAATTTTTAATAATTTATTCATTTCCATGTCTCCAGTTGTGTTGCAGTTCCGAAAAAATTGCTCTTTTCATCCCATACGAATTCAATTGCATTAATGTTGCAGTGGTATGGGGGCAGACGTAGAGCCGTGAAACCATGTTTTTTTAGCACTGAATCTAATTTATATGACTTTTCTTTAGGAGCATTTTGTTTCACAAACTCCATTAACTCCACTATCCGTAAAGCTGGAGAGAACTGAACATTTTTGTTAAGTAACCAATGGCTAATTTCTTCTTTTCGGCTTGCCATAGTTGGACAATTATTTACTTGAACAGTGAGGTAGGAGGCATTGTGTCACTACAGCATTTGGTGGAAGATTCGGAATGAGTTTTTTGGAAGTCCACTTTTCAAAAACAGTAGAATTCATTTGCCCGTGATAGTCCCCAGATATGGTATTTGCTTTGTATACTAGAGACGTATCAGGTAAAAATCCTGTATCTCCTCCAGCACATAAAACAATAATTCTTTTCAATGCATTGCCGCTTTGCAAGATGCCAAAAACTTCTTCTGATTGCCAACACTTTGAGAATGTTATGTTGCTATACACCCAGGTTTTGTCCAAGTAAATGAGATGTCTTCTTTCACGAGGAAATTGCCTCACTTTTCTAAGATACTGCGTACTTGTTTCCATACAAATCCAATACTATGCAGTTCATTTCTTAATGTTTCTTTTTCCCATTTAAAATCAATCTTTTCTTGCAGCATAGGAAGTAATTTTGAAAGGGATGGAATTTTTTTCCCCTTAATATAAAATTCATGAACAGTTCTTCGAATCATATCACATTCAAAACCATCTAAACCAATCCTGTTTAATACTTCTTTTTTGGGCTCTTTTTTTTTTTTTTCGAGGAACTAAAAACTGGCTCTTCCTTCCTTTCTGCCTCTCAGCGAATTTTCTTTATTGTCATCAGAGATACTCCTGCAATGCTGCTGGCTCTTTTCGTAGGCTGTGAGATGGAAATGCTAAGTTCTCCATTCTTGGCTTCGATTTCACAAAATGGAATGACATTATGCAGCCATTTTTTAGTATCACTGTGAAAAGCTTTGTTTTTACCAACATAACTCATTTTAACAATAAAAACAAGCTATCCCTAACGCTTGCACAAAAGATACGCAACATTGACAAATGTTAAGTAAACAATCAACCACGATCTAAAAAAATCCCACGTAAATGTGGTGGAAACATATTGGTTTTCTTTCTTTACGACAAAAAAGAATGCATCTGCTAAAGAATATAGTTCCTTGATTTTAGTGACCTTATCTTTAAAAGTAAGCAATGAACTATGCATTGTTCATATAAAATTCATACATTATGAAAAAAATTTCAACATTCTAGGTTTCTGGGCTGCAAACCAATTTGAATATTAGTATTTATTTCTACAAATCTAAAAAAAAAAAAAAAAAAAAAAAAAAAAAAAAAAAAAAAAAAAAAAAAGGGAAAGGCGCGAAAGACAATTGATGCAACATCATCACCCAATGACATAAGGATTTTCCCTCCCTCGATCATATAAATTCCCTTTTACTTACGAAGAGAGAACTTCCACGTGACCTCTCACCTCGCAGCACTTAACTGACACCCCTTTTGGATGATTCTATGTGTTTTGGCAAAATGCCAACAGAGGCATCGAAATAGATAGTCGAACTATACCTGATACAATTGCTTACTACCACGCAACTAAATTCGGTATGGATGTGATTGACCAAATGGCAAGGAAGTATACTGTCAAGTCTGCTTCACATAGGTGGCTTGTGCAGGTTTTTTACACTATTTTGGACCTTGCTGCTATCGATGCCTGGATTTTATACAAAGCCGTATCTGGAAAATCTACAAGTAGACGGCATTCATTCAAGACTTAGTTGAAGAATTGAGAGAAAAGTTTGTTCTGTCCCGGCAAAACAAGGTGACATATAGGTGTACAGCAACCACCGAAAACAGCAATTTAAGCGTAAATGAGTCCAATGCCATAGTTTAAAATGTGAAAATAAAATCCAAGATATTTGTTCAAATGCAAAGCCCTATTTGTGTAAATGTACAAAACTTATGACTAAATTTTGTGCACAATGCATACAATAAATTGGATTAAAAAAAAATCTGTAAAACTAGTAACTGGTAAAATTTTTATTTTTTTTCTACAATTATGTCTGAATTTATTTAAATGATAAAATCTGTTTTAACCAAAATTAGAAAAATTATGTTTTATTTTGTTTAAAAGACGTTATTATACTTATGGAAATAAAATTTTAAATAATACAATTTTCGAAAAATTTAGGTAATTTCCATTGATATATATAAAATATTTAATGCAAATTTTGAGAAATATTGATTGTTACATGAAAGTAAAATGTTTTAGTTAGCTAAATTAATCACTTGTGTATATTTTTAGGTGTTTTCTATTTAGGCTCAAATTGATCCTCACCGCGGTTCTAGTGTTAAGTGACTACGGATCATTGTGTACATGGGGAGAACATGTGCAATGCCCAATCCCCCCCTTTTTTTTAAAGCAGAAACAAATTGGTATATACAGAACAGCACATAAAAAATTATGTAAGGATTTCTTGAAAAAAGTAAGTGTTTTATCACAGATGTTTTTTAAACATTTTATTGATTGATTGCTCTTGTATAGAATTCTTAGTGCTCTGTCATTCTCAAGGTGGCTGTTGCTTTTCACGTATTAGTTTGGTGAACAATTAGTCACTAATGTTTGGCAACTTTTCAGGCCGGGGGAGGGTGCAGATTAGCTGAAAGTATCAAAATTGTTTAAAAAATCCAAATTTCTTTAACACATGCTGGATGCTTCCAAACTGAAAGAAGAAACTTATTCATTTTCCAGTAAAGTCTTTAAATTCATTAACAATAATAAAGAAAACTAAAGATAAAAATATATTTTTATAATATAAAAAGAATATGAAAGTTTGGAAATGGTAAGGATTCTGATGCAGATGACACTGGTGTGCCAAACAGCTGTTGAATTAGAAAATGCACTTCAGATCCTTTCATGGTCTTCAGTTGAAATGAAGAGAGGTAAAAATATCCAAAATTTCATCAAAAATTCTAATGCATAGGAAAATACTGCTGAAAAACTGCAAACACAAACATTAAACAAAGAATGCAAATGCAAAGCTTAAAATTTTAACTATTTGAATTTGATTCTTAGTGTAACTACTTAATGTGATCACACATGATTACAGCACAAATGACCATATTATGCAGAAGAGACAATATAATTAGCAAAAGCTCTTAAAAGTCTGCTGCTTGGAATTCAGCAAGTTTATATTAACAATCCTTTTTTTTTTTTAATTATTTTTTTTATTTAGTCACAATTTAAAGTCCAAGCTACTATTCACGTTTTGTCATTTAATTAGACATCTACATTAGTAAGAAATATTTATTAAATCAACATAAATAACTTATATATTCTTAATGGTAAAAATCAAGTTAACATTTTAATACTAAATTATAAATGAAATAAAAAATATTATGCAGAAGAAAAATTACATATTAAACTTAAGTTATTTAAACTTAAGTTATGTAAATAATTTATAAATATGATTTAAACTAACAGTTCTAAACTGAAACTACATGACATACCCATTGGTGGAGGTGGTGGAGGCAATGGTGGCTGATCAGTTGACTTAGGAGGCGGTGGAGGCTGCTCTGTACTGCTTGGTGGCATTGGAATCTGAGATGTAGAACTAGATGCAGGGGGCAATGGTGGTGGAGGAGGAGGCATGCCACTGAAAGATGAAACTGGAGGAGCGGGTGGTGGTGGTGGCATAATATGACCTAGAAACAAACCAAAATGCTTGAACTCCAATGAAAACTGTCAACAAAATTTACTGTTACAGAAAGTATGGAAAAGAAAAAAATATTACTCTTTTTTTAATAATGAAACAAAATGTACATAAATCATAAAATACCTTGAATGTATTAAGAACAAAATTGAAATAATAGATTAAAAATTTTTAAAACCAATTACTGGAAATTTAGATTTAACAAGTGCACATAGAGTAATTTATATACACCGATAATGAAAGCAAATAAACCATGATTATGATTACAGTTAAAAGTAAATAAATTATTTATCAGTTTTTAAGAATTAAATATGAATGTTAGAAGTTACACTAGAAAGAATTATATGAATTGCAACTTAAATTATTGAAATTTCAAATAAATCCTTTCATAATTTTTTCTTTGTAAGCAGGATCTTATTTTTTAAAGACAATGAAAATAAAACTTTAATTAGCTGGGTTCAGTTAAATTCAATTTTGGATATTTAATTATCAATGTTTAATATTTCAAAATTTTTATACGGACTTTATTTTTTATAAAGTGTGAGTAGTTTTTGCTATTACTATATTCCTATTCAATAGAATTTAACAATATTTAATATTCTGGAAGCATCAGACGAAGCCAAAAAGTAGAAGGTCAGAATGAGAATGCACAAAATACTTCTAATTAAAATTTTTGTAAATGAATTCTGCATTTAGTACCTGCAAAGAAAATTCTTTCTAATTCTTTGAATTGAATTTTAAAAAGGATTACTGTGCAGAGATTTTACTGTAAAAGAATGCACAAAATATTTAAGAATAAACATAATGGGGGGGGATTTAATTTATGGATTTGATATTTGCAGAAAAATCTAATACTTGTAAAATCTTAGAAAATTTATGAAAATAATTATGGAAATTCACCACATATAAATTATTATATCATATATACATAAGATGTAAGGAAATATAATAGCTGCTTTAAAAAGAATATTCTAGATTTGGTGCTCTCCCTTTAAATTCATCTGTTCTCCCGACTCTGTGAACTGAAGGTTCAATGAAAATGGGCTCCCGGTTAAAAACCTATCCCAGTATTTCCGAATGTTGATGAGCATATTGCTGGAAAAGTAAGGTGCAAGTCCAAGAGTAACGTGAGCAGACGAGTTGATGTTGTTGACGAGTGTTCTAAGATAATAAGCACTGAGTAGGCAAGTGAAGATTACTTTCAGCAGCATAGCTGGCGCCATCTATTGACCATTCCAGAAGATCGTAACTCTGGGGAGGAGTCAGAGCAGTCTTGGGCCAAAGAGGAGGAAGGTGATTGATTAGGTAGGCGAGTGATCCTCAGTGCGCAATGGGGAGGGGGACTCTTTCCAATGACATATAATTTTGAAAGGGGAAGTAAAGGGAGGGGAGGGGTTAACCTGCTAGATGAGAGTTATTAAAATTTTAAGATATTTACTGAAGGATTGCAATTAAGAGAAAATGAGGGGCTAACTATTTACTGAAGTATCAGATTATTTAGAATGAGTTATTTGCTTCTTCGAGCTTTATAAATATTATATAATTTTTTTTTCATAATTGTATTTGCATTTCTTAACTCTAGTTTTGGTTGATAAGTAGTGTTAATTTGGATAGTTGAATGACGAAAATTGATTCAAGTTCTTTAATTGCGCATAGAAATTCTAAGAAGGCTGACGGAGATTTGTTTGGAAATTTTTGATTATGATTATGTTTGGATGTGGAGGGGATAGACTGATTTAAATTAATTTCAGGCTGTTGTGATTTGTGATACCGTGGTTTATTGAGAATTGGTTCCAAGTATGATCTTTTTGGCTGATTTGCATTAGTAGTTTTTGGTTTGGGGAATTTTAAACAACCACAATAAGACACACGATGAGAATTACTGTAATTTACACAGATGGGATTTCTAGAAAGCCTTTTTTAGGGCAGAGTGAAGTCTTATGTTCTCCTGTGCATTTAACACAGTGTGGAGCTAAGAAACAATTTTCGGAGGAGTGATTCCATTTTTGACAGTTATGGCACTGTGTAATGAGATTTTTGCTAATGTATCTTTGGATGTCAACTATGAATAGTGAAAAGTATGTGATGTTATAAATTGAGTCAATGTTGGGTATTTGTATTTAGAAGAAATTGTACTTGAAATAGTGGCATGGGTTGGCGTGTACGTAATCATGTCCTTTGCACTACTTTATGAACTGAGTATCCTAGGTCTGTTAAAATGTCACTAATTTCTGTGGTGTAAATGTCGACAGGTAGTCCTCAAATTACAACTTTGAATTTTTTTTTTTTTTTTTTTGTGTGTTGTGTATTGATGATATAGTGTTCTACTGAGTGACTTTTAAGATAAGTGGTGAGTGTTCTGTGGTCGTCAGAAGTGTTTGGAAAAACTTTAAGAAATTCTCCACTAACTTTACTGTAAAATTTGGTAAATGATTATTCGGAGAGTTGTTTTAGATAAACATTCTGCTTGATGTTAGCTGGGGGTTTGATCATGATCGGTGGTACAGACTTTTTCTTAGGCAGTGGAGATGTTTGTTCCTCAAGATCTTTGGGTTGGCTGTTTTGGATATTTTCCTTGTCAGAGTTATTTTTTGCACTATCTGCATTTAAGTTATTAAATTTATTACTTATTGTTATAGGGTTTTTCGCTACATGCTCTTTTTTAACCAATTTTGGCTATGCGAGTGGGTTTAATGAATCCATCATTTTGCGTTGAATTATCATCAGAGAAATCAGAGTTATCTTGTTGTTTTCTTTTTAAGTGTTGCAAGTTAATGTTACTAGCCGATTTTGAGGGGGAGGGTTCAGCACATTGAGAAATTAAAAGATCTTGCTTACCTATGAGGTAGTCCTTCTATATCCTGTTTTCTCGAATGGTATTTGCAAAAACCTCGGTGTAGTTATCTGGAGTGGTGACCGGTCTGCTCACATCGAACTGTATTTTCATTTCTTGTTCTGATTCAATTTCAGAGTCCATAATCTGAATTTGTATATTTAGTTCAGAAAGTTGTGCGTCTAGGTTTAGTCCGTCATCAGGGTCAGAGAGTCCATATTTCGTAGTGATCATCAGTGAAGTGAAGCAGTGGTAAACATCAGTGAAGACATCTATAGGCGCACTCCAATCAGAAAAGCATTTGTCCGGAGGAAGAATATCATTGTTTGACTTAAATTCATGGCTCGCCATTCGAGAATCTTCTATGTTATGTAACAACCTCAAATTAACCAATCATAGCTTGTCTCTACAATTATCTCAGACTTAGTATAAATACTGCTGGCAAGTTAATTGCATCATTCTTCCCTTCCCTAACTTCTACTCTGTCAACATCGCGTCGCTTTCCTTTTTCTCAACTGCCTACGCCATTTCTTGCTAAAAGTCAATGTGCATAGAAATTTATCATATTTCATTATGATTGGATAAATATCTACTGAGATGATTTTATATACGTTGAAATAAAGATTGGAAATTCGTCTAATTCATTTTTGTGTCAGCATTATCTGTTCGTCTTCCCTGCCTGCCACTATGAAATTACGACTACACTTCAAAATCATTACATAAGGAAAACATTTAGGGGGAGGGCACCAAGTCTAGAACACTAATTTTGAGGTCGTCAATTATTTTTAAAGCAGCTACTGTATTTTTTTATATCTTACATACATGCAATCACGACTATTCTTCAAAATCATAACATGTATATATTATATATTCATCAAATTGCTGCTATACCCATAACTACAGAAACAGATTAGATGTCACACATACAATAAATAAAATTAGAGCACAAAGTTTGAAATTACTTACTTGTAGGAGGTGGAGGTGGAGCGGATGGGAAGCTGGTTGGTGGTGGAGCTGGAGGTCGCACAGGTAATGGAGGTGGTGGTGGCAATGAGCTAGGTGGCAATGGTGGAGGTGGTGGCATTGGTGCCCCAGATGAAGTAACAATTGCAGGAGTAGACATTGGAATTGATGGTGGAGGAGGCATAATTGATGGTGGGGGTGGCATTGGAGGGGGAGGAACTATATGGGTTGGAACTGGCATAGGTCCACCAGCTGTAGGAGGAGCATCAGCAAAGAGTTGATGAGGTCGATCGGCATGTGACAATGGATTCTGTGCTGCTAGTAAACGCTCTGAAAGAACACAAATAATAAGTATTGATTTGAAATTACTGATTTAAAAACAATCAGAATACTTTTGGTATAAAAGCAAATAACACAAAACCAAAATAGAACTGAAATTCAAAATCCTGAACACAGTACATAAAATTAGCTTTGAGTGCAATTATATATTAAACAATTTACAAACACTTTTATTGTAAAGTTTTAAAAATAAATATTGATTATCATATTTGTATTTGAATTCCATTTATGAATGTCTGACTCATAAAATGGCAAAAGAAATGTTCTCAGATTATATCATTTTAAAATTATGAATGCATTTAAAAATATTAGAAGATTTTAAATTAAGAAGAAAGTTTCCATTCTTTTCATATTAAAATTTATGTAAACTTATTTCAAGCTATAAAAATCAATGGAGATGCAGAAATTAAGTTAGGTTATGCTGAAGCAGTGAACAACTAAGCAATTCAAGTAGGGTATCTCAACAGAGGGATTTTTAAAGGAAATTAGCCTATCTTCAAGTTATACATGGAATGAAATCCATGTATTCAGTCATCAGACATAAACATGGAGCATAGTACCAATACTCAACAGTCTTATTCACTGGTAAGGTGACTTTTGTGCCCCCCCCCAAATTTCTTACTTTATATAAAACATAAAACAAACATCATCTTAAACCTTCCTTAATGAAAATACAGATGTGCAGAGAACCATCAAACAGAATGTTGTAAGACAGATATGCAAGCATGAAGCATACTTCCATAAAAACATTTATTTAAATACTGCATGGGTTAAACATGAAATATTTATTTACAATTATGGTTAAGCACAACAGTAAAAGGAACTGCTTTGTTACATAACAGCATAGTCAAATTGTGGGTTTGCGAGCTCTGAAATGCGACTTATTTGCAATAAATAGTAGTTTAATTTTTAAAATAGAAATCATGCAATGACATGTTTCTTTATTAATTGCTAATTTACTTTCTTAAATTATATCATGTTTATAATAATTTAATTAATGTCAAACTCTCTCCTGCAGCCTTATCATCAGAGTAACAAACAAAATTGCATATAATTCCATTTCTGGCAATTACTATTCTGTCTATGTTATTTTTTAAACAGATAATGGCCATTGGAATAGCACGGAATGTACAAATATGAAGTTAAAGCAACACCCTCTAATATTTTTTGTCTCAGATTAATTTTATTTCAGCCAGTTTCTACTTACATTCCATCTGAGCAATCCTCTTATTCACAGCAGTTGTGATCCACCTGGAAGATTTGCTATGATGTAGAGTACTACTTTTATTCATGCCTTGAATGGCTTTGTAACTGCTGAAGAAACCTCTTTCACCCTGCAGTCTATGCAGGGTTCTTTTAATTTATGGAAGAATTTTAATCAAAGGATTTTGACTGATGAGATGAACCTTCCTGCTCATATTTGGGTAGGAGACTTGTCTCAGTTTCCTGGGAGTGTGCTTCGATATTAATTCCCCATCTCAAAGCAAGTCAGGTCATTTTTATGCACTTCCATCACAGCTTTCGCAATAATTCACAGTAGTATGCTGCAATAAACATTTTTTCACATAAAACTCTTTCAAAATAATTCCTTGGTAATCCTAGGCAGAGATTGTAATTTATTTCATCAAGGGCCATGCATACTGAAATATTTGAGGTCACGAAGAGAATCATGGGATTGACAATGATTTCACTTCTATTCAAACTTTTTAATTCATGTTTTATCAACTGATGTTATTTAAGGTAGAAATCTTTCACATTCACCATCAAATCTTCATATCAATAATGTTGCATCAAGCAATGAAGGATTAACTAAACACAAACTTCTTTCTTCTGCAAATTTCTGTCAAAATACGGCATACTGATGTCAGTGAAATCACTTTAGCATGTGATATTTTCTTGTCTATTGTCCTTTTAACTCAGCACAAATATTGCACTACATTAGAGCTTGCACTATGCTTTTTGCTGCCTAATATTTCTAAAGTTTTTCACTCTTAGTACTGTCGCTCGCAACAGTTGCATGTTGCCCTGGCTCTGATGCCCAGCATTATACTTCTTTAATCTTTTTTTTTTTTCTTTTTTTGGGAGGGGGTCTTCTTTATTTTTGATCATCATGTATGTCTGACACATTCTTCATAAAAGCTTAGTAGTCCAATGGAAAGTCATACTATGATCTACATAATTGTTCAGCTGTGTAAATATTTAGTTTTTAAGCCTAATCTTATGATACAGAAGTCACACTATTCTGATATGCCTATACACTCCATTTCAAACAATCATTTAAACTTCATTTCAGATTTATTTTCTGCACACAGATTGCATAACCATTGTGCTGACAGTAAATTAGAAAAATATTTATTTTAAAATTTCTTCTCAGTTATTTTACTCAGAAATTTAAGATGAGACGGTAAGCCTTTTGACTGCTTTTATGGGTTCAATAGTTAACAGTTAGACAGGGTTTGTACACATTTTGCCACACAGAAATGAAGTACTTCTAAGGACCTTTTAAGGACCATTAATGAAAAAAATTAAGGACCTATGAGCAAATGCGAACTGAATAAATTCAATTAAAAATATTGTCTATGCCTGAATTTCACTTTTGTAATACCATCCTAAAAATGAAATAGATCCCTAAGTAATATGCATTATTACTAAACATGAATTAGTTCACATAATTATTAATAAGTTTGAGAATAAAATAAACTTTAAGCAATTTATAAAATAGCATTAAATATTTTACACTTATAATAGTTGGACACATTTGAAAGAAGATAAGTGACATTTACGTTTTACTAACAGTTAGCTTTATGTTGATTTTTTTTTATGTCTCATTTTGTCACATACTTAAGCAGTCTGGAGGTTTAGTAAATAGCAGGTAGATTTTATGTAAAACGGCATAGGTTAAAATGAGAAGTAAGATCATAATCAGCATGATTCATAACCAAAAGACAATGTTGTCACCGCTGCTGCTTTTTTAGAGAGAGACCTGCTGATTGGAACAAACCTGAAAGGCCTGATGTAGGCACGGTTGGCAAGTGTTGAAAGTTAGGCTCTGTTTGATGCAGTTAGTGTCGTAGGTTCGTGTAGAGTTCCAGGGGTTATAACCCAGTTAATATACCTTAAGGTTCCAATAAGCCATTAAAGCAATAGAGGTGATAAGTTATTTTGTATTATTGTAAGTCTCACTAGATGCAAAGAATAAGTTTTACTAGAATTTTTACATTTTTGTATTTTATCTTGTGACCACAGTGAGTATTAATGAAGAGCAATAATTCACTTTAATATGTAGACATAATTTTTAAGGGGTAAGCAGTTAGTTATAAATAACTAAATTAGGTAGTTTGATAACCTTAGTCATTATGGATTTACATGGCCACAATTAAATTTTATTATTAAAATGTAATAAAGTTTCACAGTTTTCTTCCTGTACCATTAATTCTGATTTACCTTGTATTTTGGGAAAGCTTAAAATTCAACATATAAGGATGAAAGTTTGACTGGTAAACAGTTGTAATATGGGCATATGTGCTCAGCATGAACTACTATATTTATTTTGCAACAGGTTATCTATGTCCAGAATTATTGGAATGATTCAAGATAAAAAACTTTCAATACTTCATATACTTTTCATATATTCATTACTTTTAGCTCTTTAGTGGCTGTGGTGTGGTTGTGAGGGGAGGTTAGCATTTTCTATCTAAACAAAACAAAAAGTAAAGCCCCAAAACATATTTTGGAGTGGCTTGCACCTTTTGATGCCATAGCAATAGAGAATAGATTCTGAGAAATTATGTTCATTTAACATAGCAAACTGCACTCTTTGTGAATTAAGCCACTCATTATCTTGTTCTGTCTAATATCATTATTCTTATTGAAATTAGTTTTAATGAATGATAATGTCTCTTTTTTATGTTTTTCCTGAAACTGTACATCGAATGGATATCAGAATTTTGCACACACTGATAAAATAAAATAACTTTTTAAAAACTGATGTTAAAGTAAGACTATCCAAAAATTTTAGGAATATTTTAATATAAGATTTGAGATGTATGGCATTGCAAGATCATGAAAGCACATGTCTGCAGATGTTTTCAAAAGTGTTGGCATAATTTGTAAACAACTACCAAATTCATGATGATGGAGAGAACCAGAGATGTTAAGATTTTTAATTATCCCAAGAAAAAACGAAATTTTCTGATTAATGTTTGGTTTAGTTCAGTTAAATATGGCAAAGCACACTAGGGCAATCTGCCTAAGCGAAGGGATGCCTTTGTGAAGGGCTTTCTAAGGGAAAATGGTTTGTATACAAATTACACATGCAGAAAACCACAAAAGCATATATGCAACCAGCCCATTCACCTGGATTCAAACTCAGGTCAGAACTACCAGCGTTCAATAATTTTCACCACTCGACCGCTGATGAGCCCTTTTGATTCATGGAATGTGAAAAGAAATCCTAAATGAAAATGATTAAATTGAAATTGTAATCATCAATCAACAGAATGGTGAATATTTGTAGTACGGTTTTAAATCTGGAAAATATTGTCATTTCATCTTTGTGTGACACTTCAAATTTCACATTTCTTCGTGTCAATTCATGCGATGGTGATTCAGAAAAACTCTTTCTTTATGCAAAATACCACTTTCTTAATCAAACGTTAATAAAAAATATATTTTTTATAATTTATACATATTATCTTCCTAGATTTAAAACGATGATCTAAAGTCTGGAAATTTGCAAAATCCGGAAGCGGCAAGATTCCAATGATTAGGCTTTATATTGTATTTCAAAATCCACAATTAGCAATAATACTAAAAAACTTTATTTTTGCAATGAAGTCACAGAAAAAGGACTTCAGAAGCCAAATTTGTTAAACAAATCTTCAGTTGGCAACCTCTAAAGTAATACTTTAGTCTTTCTTTGTCTCCAGTTTTATCTACTTTTATATAACAGCAAAGTGTTCTCTGTTTCTGCTTAAGAAGAATATTTTCATGGAGGAGCATTTTTATGGAGAAAATTCTACAAAAAAATGGCTCTTATACATATTACATCAAGAAAAATTATCATAAGAATTTGCAATAAGCTTTCAGTTTGTGGTTATTCTGCAGATACTTAAAATATTTTGTAGAGTGAAGGGGCTTATTGATTTAGCCACCAGTGGGCATGTATTTTTTTTTTTTTTTTTCCAATATGTGTAATGCTTGGGATGTTGCTGGTTCAGATAGATAGCTTATGTACTGAACTAAAACACATCACTTGACTTTAAATGTTTTATCACATAAAAGATTTAAAATAAATGTTTTTTTTTCCTTCTTACCAGCAGCAGAACCATGCCTTTCTCCTTTAGATTCTTTCTTAAATGCGTAAGAAATGGTAATTGGTCGATTACACAAATACTGTCCATTCATTGCTTCAATAGCAGCATCAGATGCCTCAAAACTGGCGAAATTAATGAAGGCATAACCTTTAGAATTTCCTGTTTCTGGGTCCCTCATTATCTATATAAATGATATGCATAAATATAACAAGTAATATTTATGTATTAACATACATACAAATTCCATAAACAATATTTACTTAAAATATTCAAACAATACTTAAGATAAATTTATATACAGATTTCCAGTTTCATAAAATATCTACTTTAGCATCTACAAGAAATTTCATTATGTGAAGGAAATCATAAGATTTTCAGTTTTACCGAAGGGGGACAAAAAGAAAATTATGAGAAGTTCAACTTTTCCCTCAATGTGTGTGTATTACTGCAGAAAATTATCATTAGTTTTAAAATGGCATACAAAGGCTGAGTTACAAAGAAATGTATGAGTCGGAAGAGTCAAGCTTACTTCATACCCCGATACTTTTTATATTAGTCATAATTACAGTAGTAATTTTAATATGGAAAAGTAAAGTCTGAGTGACAATCATGGGATAAATTGCAAAATTTTGCAAAAAAATTCACAATTTAAGATTAAGATTAATCAAAACCCCAAAATAAATCTATGAGATAAGTTTCAAAAAGAGATAGTATGCTATTATTTTTTTTTTCAATAAATTCTTGCAAAGTAATCACTGTCATTAATATGAAATCAAAATTTCCGTTTAAGTAAAACTGACATATTGCTACAATATGTTTGACACATGCAGACCTTTTTTTCATTAAATAGTACACTTTTAAAATGGATTATTCAATATCAAAACTGTCTACTGAAGCTTTTGGTTGCTGGGATAACTGCTAAACCATACATATTCCTTTATATAAAAAAGAAATCATTACTCTTTACCTCAAACAAAATGTTATGAAAGTGTGAAAGTGATACTAACAGAAAAGCAAGTTTATTGGCTAATGAAAAGTTTTAATTACATTACACAACAACACCTTACTCAGAGCATTCAAGACGGCTGATGATGCTAGACATATGATGCCATCTACCGATGCAACTTCTAGTAAGAGATTTGATGTACCAGATGAAAATTCAGTAAAAATATGAAAATGTATTAAAAACTGCATTCTTCAATAAATTTCATGCATTATTTTAACAGTGGAATGACAGACATCTGAACTATAGAGTTCTGCTGTTTTACATATCAAACTTTCATGAGCAGAGGCTTAATTTAACCATTACTGTTCTGCTTTTTGTAGTAAAAATAAATGATAAAAACAGTAAGAGAGAATATATTTTTTGTTCCTCTCCCCTCCCTCAATATTAATAATTTATGATATTTTACTTTTTAGGCTATAAAATATGTTTAATAATTAATGACAAAGAATTAAGTAAGCTATTTTTTGACAGTGCAAATTTCAGTAGCATCTTTTTCCTTCTATTTTTATCGAAGAATTCAATAATTCAACATGTAATAACTTATAATTAAAATAAAATAACACACAGAACAAGCGTTAATTATAAGATTGGCTGGACATTAATTCTGACCAGCCATTCTTATCTTATCTCGTTCTTTTGTGCTTTGGCAGCTGAGGATGATGGTTCAGTAAAACCATCGAAACTAGTCCTGTGAAAATTTGCAAATATAACGCTGATTTTTGTTGTTTGACTTCTAAATTAATAATAGCTTATGTTCATCACAATTTTCTGTTTTTAATATTTCTACTCAAAGTTATTTAAAAAAAGAGTTTCATGGTAACATCATAACACAAGATGACTACATAGACTATTTTGGAAACTGGAGAACTTTCTGTGCAAATTATTTCAGGGTTGCCACTTAATCAGGAGAATGAAATTCCCTAACTTTTCCAGGTGAGCTTTAAGAAAATCCCAGTCTATCCACATAGCGTTTTGCCAATTACATATGATTACATGTGGGAAATCATAACATCCAATGCCGAATTAGAATACCCGATGACGTCACCAGCACAGCCCAGCGCAGTAAGAATCATCCCAGATGGCAAGAGACAACGTTGGAGCGTGGACGTGAGCAGACGGCTCTGTCCTCTTCAAGAGTTTTGCTGTTATGCCTTTAGCTGTGATGATTTTAGATTATCATACTATTAAAGCTATGCACGAATGTTTGTGTAAACGGACTGCATCATTATGTTAATCCTGCATACCGTTAACTTCATCTTTACTTCATTTACTTTTCTTATTTTATTTCTTTCTATTAAATATCCATGCTCTCAATTCTCTGAGTTAAGTCAAATTCTACAAAAAAATATGGCGACCAACCGTGCGGCTCGAACTTGGAAAATGTGTGAGTGACATTATGAACTGTGTTCTGAACTGTGCATTGAACTATTGAGTGAACTGTTCTCACAAGTTATTCGATTTATTGGATTACTCGTATAAAGTGTGGATTACCCAATTGACGACGATCATCTGTCAGGTGAGTACAAAACTTTCTTTCTAATATGAAGTTAGTAGAAATTCCAGAATTGGAAGCAGCTTTAAAGAACAGTAAAAGTTCTGAAATCAAAAGTTTGCATAAGCTTATTTTTAATACTGATGGAGATCGAAATAACCAGAAAGATTACGTGAATTTTCTGGCTTTATATTTAAACCAGATTCTGAAGAATTTAATAAGAAAATAGATGCAGTGCAGAATAGTTTTACTTTGAATGAGTTAATTAAAGTTTGCAATGTACTGTGCATAAATTCAGAAGGTTTGAAATCGGAAGTAGTAACCTGAATTGTCTCTTTCCTATGTGATTTATCTGTATTATTTGAAAATATTTTGCATGAAGAAAATAGTGATATTGAAGATGAAACTATTAATAAAATTTCTGAAGTAATGCTTGATGATAATCAAAGAGACAATCCTGGTTTTACCGAGTCTCAAGTAAATAACAGTATGCAGCTTCCAATTCAAGATCATTTTAAACCTCATCTTAGTTTTTCTGATATTGAAAGTATTGTTAATCCTTTTTCTGGTAATGCATATGAAAATGTTGATAAATGGATTGATGAATTCGAAGATGTTATAAATTCTTTAAAATTAAGTGATTTGCATAAATTAGTTTTTGCTAAAAGATCATTGAAAGGTAAAGCGAAACTATTTATTCAGAGTGAACCTAAAGTTAATGACTGGTGTAAGTTAAAATAGCTTTTGAAATCTGAATATAGTAAAGCTTTTAATTCTCCTGAATTGCATGAAATGTTATGTAAGCGTAAGTTAATGCCTAATGAAACTTTAGATGAGTATTTTTTGAAAATGAAAGAAATGTGTTCGCGAGGTAACATCGAAGATGCTTCATTAATTAAATATGTTACTGATGGTATTCCCGATTCTGTCGTGAGGAAAACTATACTATATGGTTGCGAAACAATAACTGAATTTAAACAAAGGTTTAAAATTTATGATAAAATGAGATCGGACAATGATAAGTTTACAAATCCGAAACCGAAAGTAGACACTCAAGTTTAAGATAGAAGTAAGCTTTCATGATCAAACAGAAATCAATCTAATGTTAATAAGGTCAAATGTTTTAATTGCCAGGAATTTGGGCATTATTCTAAGCATTGTGTAAACAAATCGCAAGGGTGATAAAATGTTTTAAATGTAAAAGTTTGGGCACATTATTCAACTGACTGTCAGATCCAGAACCCCGAGACGCAACAAGCTTTAGTATACAACGAATTTCTGATACAAGGATAGAATTATGAAGACTGTAGAAATAAATAATCATTTAGTTGATAGTCTAGTGTTGACACTGGTTCAGATGTTACGATATGCAGCGTAGAGTTACACAAGCAGATTGGTTCTCCAAGTTTAAATTGTAGCGATATCAACATTAAACGGAATTGAATCAAAGCAAACGTACCCCATCGGCTTTTTCATTCCTGATATTTCAATTGATAGTTTTTTCACTTCGTACGAAAATTTATGTTGTTAAGTCGTTATGTAATCAAATTGTATTAGGTTTGGATGTATTGAATCATCAGTTTAACTTCTCTTTTACCAAGAATGGCCTTCAAATGATTTCTTTTCTCATCGGAATAAAAGTAATGTAAACTTGATAACTGCTGCGTCATATCGAAATTCTAACGTTCGTTGCGTTATGGGAAATTTGAATATTGCTATGTCATTGAAGAATGTTTATGATCCTTCGCAATCGTCTGGCGTCTCTGTTAATGTAAACAAAAGTCCTGAAAGAGGAAGTAGCTCGACGTCTAATTACCTTTCACATCTGGTGAATGCCATTTCTGTCAATGAGATTGATTTATCGCATATTTCAAATGCAGAACATAAAGAAAGACTGTATAATTTAATTAATTCGTACCAGCCTCGGAAAAATAGACAATCTGACTTCAAGATGCAAATAAATTTATGCGATGATATTCCTGTCTGTCAAAATAGAAGATACATGTCTTTCGCGGAACAAAAAGTTGTTGACGATCAAATTAAGGAATGGTTAAAAGAGGGCATAATAAAGCCTAGCAATTCTAATTATTCGATTCGGCGCCTATTGTTTTGTGTAACAAGCGTGATAATTCGAAACGTTTATGCGTGGACTATCGGAAATTGAATAAGAAGATTATTAAAGACAAATTTCCACTGCCTTTAATTCTGGAAGTACTCGATCGTTTAGAACAGTCAAAAGTCTTCACGACACTAGATTTGAAAATGGCTTTTTCCATGTAGACATAGATGAAAATTGCACCAAATATACCGCAATTTGTAACACATAATGGTATTTACAAATTTCTTAAAGCTCCTTTTGGTTTATGTATTAGTCCAAATGTTTTTCAAAGGTATATTTATTCAGTATTTCGTGACTTGTTAAATGAAGGTGTACTAATTATTTATATGGATGATATAGTCATACCGGCTAATGATGAAGTTGAATGTTTAGACAAATTAGAAAGAGTACTCAAAACTGCTTCAGAGTATGGGTTACAAATAAATTTCAAAAAGTGCCAATTCTTAAAACTTTACGTTTTAAAAATTGAATTTTTGGGACATGTAATCGAAAATGGAACTATTTGACCATCACCTTCCAAAACTGTTGCTGTTCGAAACTTTCCACAACCGCGTAACTGTAAACAACTACAAAGCTTTT